TATAAAGAGAGATATATAATTAGGTTCTAGAGATATAGCCATTTTTTTAGAGTATTAAAGCTTTTTAATATAGAAGTATAGTAAGATTACTTATTACTATTTAGTATAGCTTTTAGAAGAAGAATATAGAGGTAATATCTAAGGCCTTTTTATTTAAAGTAAAGGATATTATAGGTCTAATTAAGGATAATATTAAGATATAGTATAAATCTTTTAAGAGAAGAAGGTTTAGGTTTTAAGCTATATTTTCTTTAGAATAAGGATTATATAGAGTAGTCTAGAAGTGACTTTTCTTATATTTACTTAAGAGTAGTATTAAAGTAATATTAATTATACTTTATAATATTATAGTTAAGATTTATTTATTTAGGCTTTAGATAGTAGCATCCTTTATAACTAATATTAGCCTAATAACTTAATAAACCACTATTTAATACCTACTATAGTATATTCTTTATAAAAGCTATAATAAAAGCATTTATAAAAGTCTCTATACTATTAATATTTATCCTAATTTTATAGCTTAACTATAAAAAGACGTCTTTAAAAGATGTAGTAATATTATTAATAGAAGTCTTATATAGACTAAGAGTAAGGGTGTAATTATATAAGACATGGCGGCACTCATGATAAGAGAGGTTTACTAAAATAATATAAAAAGCCTTTAATAATTTAAAGATATTTTAATAAATACTAAACTTATTAATAAAAAGAAAAAAAGGTAAAGAGTAAGTAAAGACAAATTTTTAAGATAAAGAGAGAAGGTGTTTCTATCTAAAATACTAAAGCTCTAGTTTAGCATGCAGGGTATAAAGATAAAGTATCTTTTAAAGAGATTAATACTACTAGTTAAAGATATATTAAATTATAATAGGGCCTAGTTATAATAGAGACTTATAATTAATAGCTATATTAACCTATTCTATAATATATTATAATATAATCTCTAGACACCTATTATTAATAAGAATATAATTATTATAAGAAAGTATATAATAGATTAAATAGGAAAGAGTAAAGATAAGAATAATAGGCTAGATTATTACCATAATTTTACCTTTTATAACTAAGTGCTCTTATTTATTAAAGCTAATAAAGGTAATTTAATTAAACTAGAATAATATATTAGGGGCCACCTAGAATATACTATTATACTATATAAAATTATTAAGAAATATAATATTACTATTAATAGCATATATATATTCTCTAGAATAGGTATAGATAGATAAGCCCTATACCTAGGAGTGCCATAATTTAACTAGATTATCTATATAGTGGGTTATTCTAAAGAACATTCTATTATCTACTAATAATAATAATAAGAGATTATAGATAAGGTTATTTAGATTAAACTAGAAAACTAGTGTTAAAGTAGGATCTACTATATATAAATTAGAGTATATAGATTATTAAATAAGTTTAACCTAAATATCTTATTTATAAAATTTCTATAAAGGTAAGACTTTATAGATATATAATTTAAGAGTATTAACCTTTTATAATAATTACTTAACCTTTAGGTGCTATAAGAGATCTAGTACCTTAAGAAGACTAGAATACTTATTTTAACTTATATTAGATTAAAGAACCTATAGCGCGAATATAAGATAAAAATTACTATATATATCTATACTTAATATTAGTGGTTATATAGAGTATTTTATAAATAGGTAATATGGCGGACTTAAGGGCATATAGTATTTATTAGCCATATAATAGTAGACTCTAGAAAAGGCTTTTAAATCTATATACTCTAATATTTAATAGCCTTTTATAGGGCACCCATAGACATATTTAATATAGTATAGATAGTAGAAGGGGGTATATATACTAGAATCTCTATATTATTAGAATTAGTTTAGCTTAAAGAGGGTATATCTAGTAAAATTCCTAGTGACTAGATAATATAAGTATTATTATAGAGAGAATATTATATTACTATAGAAGATTAAGAGGGTTTTAAATTAAAGGAAGGTCTATATATTATAGGTTTTAATAAGATAAACTACTTTAGTGGTGGTTAAAGGGGGGGGTATTAAGAAATAGATTCTATTAAAAGTTAGGCAGATTAGAGTAGTTTTAAGGCATTATAGGCGCTATATTTAAGTATATAAATTTAAGTAATATTATTATATTATCTTATTACTATCCTAGCAGAAGACATATATAAAGGGTGGTTATAATATATTATATTATATAATATAGTATATCTATAGACTACTTATAGTATAGTTAATACTCTATAATATATATTATACTTTATATAATAAAAAGAAGTATATATTCTTAGTTTAGGTTATAATAAAGTCTATTATTTATATATTAAAGAATGCTATTAGTTCTTAAATATAGTTCTTAAGTATAAAAAAGTAGCTAGGAAAGTATACACCTAAGGTATTATTTTATAATATATATATAATCTCTTAAGTCTAGATAGTATCTTAAGTTTATATATAGAGATATAGAAATAGACTAGTATTTATAGTTTATATAAGA